AAAATAAATAAATTGAAATGAAATAAACATACTATGAGCACATACGGACCCCCCCTTTTTTAACATTTTGACAAGATTGGACTTAAGTGACTATTGATTTTAGTTTTTCCAGTGGTTTTTCAATATAATTTTGTGCAGTGTGGAGAGAAGGATGGGTTTTGGGAGTGTTTTTGTTACATAAAATTTGAAAATTGGGGAAAAATAAATAAACTGAAATGAAATAAACATACTATGAGCACATAAGGATCTCCTTTTGTTTTTAACATTTTGATAAATACATTTAAATAAACATAGTATGAGCAAATACGGATCATTTTTTAACATTCTGACAAGATTGGACTTACGTGACGATTTTTTTTTTTCAAGTGTTCGAGTGTAATGTAATTTGTGTAGTGTGTAGAGAAGGAAGGGGTGTGGGAGTGTTTTTGTTACATAAAATTTCAAAATTGGGGAAAAATAAATAAACTGAAATAAACATACTATGAACACATATGAACACATCCCCCCTTTTTAACATTTTGACAAGATTGGACTTAAGTGACTACTGATTTTTGTTTCTCCAGTGTTTTTTAATGTAATTTTGTGTAGTGTGGAGAGAAGGTTGGAGTTTGGGAGGGTTTTTTGCGACATAAAATTTAAAAAATGGGGAAAAATTTATGTATAAATTAAAATAAACATGACTCAACCTTCACAGTGAGAGTATTTTAGCATGGGTTATATTATTCTAGCTTAAACAATTAAAGCTCCTGTCTCTGCTTTTTAAAATGAAGTAACACTGTCGTCAAGGAGATGTTTTCATGAATCACTCCACTGAAAGTCAGATAATTGACTATATTTTTAGATTTTCATGTGCGTCACATCTGTATCTGTTTAGTAACACCGCTCCTTATCACAGACTACAGGTGTCAACTTAGGCACCTGCGCACACACGTGACGCATACAGAATTTCTCAGGAGAAAAGCAAGGACTGTGGTAAACTAAACATGTTCTGATTTACTTTTATACACAAAGAAGTAAGCAGTAAAATTTGTGTGACTGAAACAAAACACAACTCCAGGTCTCTTTATGATGAGAAAACAACATTATAATAGATCAGAAAATAGTATAGAGTTAGCGATGTGACAATAACGGAAATATCGTGATATTATATCTTCAAAGTTCTCACAATAATGTCGTGGACCATCACAATATATCAAATTACAAGTCTCTTTGCTTAAATTAAGAGTTGTAGTGCAGCAATAGCTAAAAATAACAGAAGGAACTACATAGACCATGATCCTTTGCTCCATTTCAGTGGAAACTACAAGAAGAAATAACAGTTCTAAGCACTTTCAAGTCTTAGTTCTTAGGATTAAGTCTTGTCAAGACATTTTAAGAGGAAAAAGTAGCGTATTGACAGTTAAAATATCGCAATAAATATCGTATGGTGAGATGTATATTGTGAAAATATTGCGTAAATATCATAAAAGATCTCCTCCATATCGTGAGCTTTCCCACAATATTGTCCCGTGAGGTTCATACCGTGACGATATCGTATCGTGAGACTTGGATATCGTTACACTTTTACTTTTAAGTCTTAATTCTTTGCATTAAGTCTTTTCAAGGCATTTTAAGAAGAAAAGATATTCACTGTTTTGTTTGCCTCCACAAAATATTACAATAAATATCGTCCTGTGAGATGTGTATCGTGAAAATATTGTACCGAGAGATTTGGATATTGTTACATCCCTAATTGTGAGCCTCCCCACCATATTGCTTGATTTGATTATTTATTTCGGTCACAGGTATATTTTGACATTAATTCACAGACAGTCATATTTAACATACAGAGACCGAAAAGGTATAGGCTGAAGCTTAAGCTTATTATGCCTTTACCCTTTATTCCTTTATCAGAGCATCATCTTAACACCAGTTCATCTTCATAAATACAGCAAGAGGAAACAAACAAATTAGAAACAGAACAACAAAGTACTACAGCACAAACTAAGTATCATAATTCATGTGTCTGTCCAGAGTTAAACATTTAAACTCCTTTATAAAGTGAAAGAGACTGGTGCACAATTTTAGGTTTTCTGTGCAGTTGTTCCACAGCTCCACCCCTTTAACAGATCTACAAAATTTCATAATGTTTGTTCTGATTTTATTTTTGATAAACATGGCCATGCCTCTGAGCTCATATCGGCTCTTTCAGATTTTGAAAATGTTCTGTAAAGATTTTGACAGGAGATTATTGTTTTCTTTGAACATGATTTTCAGAGTATAAAGGTCGACTAAATCTAAAATTTCAGAGTTTGAAGGTTTATAAATAACGCATTGGTTGATTCGTTATAAGCTGATAATGTGATTGCTCTTATTGCCTTTTTTTGCAAGGTAAAAACTGGATTTGTGTTAGTCTTATATGTATTGCCCCAAATCTCAATATTGCAATAAATATCGTACCGTGAGGTTCATACTGTGACGATATCGCATCGTGAGACTTAAATATCGTCACACCCTTAGCACAGAGTAATATAAGCCCGGTTTTGTTTTTCCAATGACAATTCTGTAGTGATTCATATCCGTTTTTGTAATATATTCACTTACTCAGAGTCTAACCCTTGCTCTAACCACAAGTCAGTTTAATAAAGACATCTGAGAGCAAAAGCTATCTTGAAAATCCACTACAGTAATTCCTTTCTGCTTCCCTCCCAGATTCCAAGAGAACATTCCCAGCAGCACATGGGGATGTCATTTCGGGACTGGCAGCGTCTCTCTTCCCCAAAGACAAAGCGATGAGGAGACTTTCCCTTTAGATTTTTGTAAACAAATCACTAACCAGGAGGGTTTTTTTTCTTTTCTGCTGCTGTTTCCACTGCTGCTGGAACTCCCCTTTGGTTTGGAGATAAAGTTTACCTTATGGAAACCTCATAATTTTGAATATATTGTAATTACTCCTTCAAAAGAAAGTACACATTTCCAGCTAAAAATACAGGTCACGTTTTCAAGGCAAACATTGTAGTTAAAGGGCCCATATTACACTATTTTCTGATGTATTGTAATGTTGTTTCTTCATCAAAAACAGACCTGGACTTGTGTTTTGTTTTATTTACACAATTTTAACACAAATTCTGCATATTTAGGAGTTTTTCTCTCAAACGGAAAACGAGTCACGAGTCAGTTTTGTGTGATATAGGCTGATTTGATCCAGTTAGTAGCAGAGATAGCACAGATTGTTGCTCTAGAGAGAAAACTCAAGAGGAAATACCAGCTCTGTCCCTGAACGCTCCAATCACTGTAATGGCAAAGTGTCCTGTCTACCATTGTATGTTTCCATGAAGTAGAACTGCTTTTTCCATTCAGATTTTCAGAGTGCAGCCATCAACATCTGCCTCCTCATTTGCAAACACACGCACCTTCACGTGGTAGAGGTTTTCAAATCAGATGCTCTTCCAGTCCTGTCGATTTATGCCGTAATTTAGCAGTTCACTATGTAACTTTTTGAATAGGAAAGCTTTCAGTGGTAAAGTTTGCAGTTTGGGGGCCCTAGGCGAACTTGAATTTGGGGCCCTCACTGTAATGCACCATTTTTTTGTTTGTTTTGTTTGTTTTAATATACTTATTGTCTGTTTTTCGCCATTGTTCTTGAGACATGCACATCTCTATTTATTTGAATTATGGTGGATTGGAAACTTGTCTTATTAGTTAGATCGCCAACTAGATAATCAGAGCTGAAAGTAGTTTTAATTTTTTTGCTACTACAATTACATTTTTCTTTACATCCATTACATATGATTTTTTTTTCTTCTTATGATTAATGGTTAAAAGTAAAAATACTCAAATTTAATGTCTTAAATCTGAGGCCTCTGCCATTAGTGACACTGACGGCAAATTGGTTGGGGGCCCCTCCAGCTTTGGGGGCCCCAAGCAGCCGCCTACTTTTGCCTAATGGTAGCGCCGTCTCTGGAAACTCTGCTGTTTACTTGTGTCCTTGGAGATGATATCGAGCTCAGTAAGATGCCATGTTTTTCAGGGGTTTTTTGAACAATAAAAAGACACTTGTAACTGAATAAATACAAGCTACAATACTGCACAATATGTACAATAGTACATACAACAATTAGTCAGGCTGGTTCCACCTAGTGCCTCCGCTCAATTTCATTTCTCTCCAGCGACTAGGTCAGGAATCAGAATACACTTGACGGTTCGCAAAAACCCCGGAAGTGCATGTTCGGGCACCAGCCAGTCAGCGAAGAGCCATACATTCTGTGTTGTCAACGATTCCTGAGATCGAGGATTTAAAGCTGGAACAAAGAGAATGTTTGGTGAATTTTATCAAGGGGAAAGACGTTATTACTCTTCTTCCTACAAGATTTGGGAAAAGCTTAATATACCAGTTTACATACGCCACAACCAAATAACAGTGATTGGTTAAATAAAAAAGTACCTGCCTACCATCGAGCGAATGAATTCTAACACTGTGAGGTCAGACGGTTTCACTTCGTAGAAAGTCCTACAATCAAATGTTGCTAAAATAAATAAACTGAACTGAAACTGGAGTAAATAAACTGTAAAACATTCCAGACTAGATAACAACATGTCCTTGGAGACCAGCAAGAAACAAACCCCCACCAGAAAGCTCCAAAGTGCCCCTTTTAACACTTAATTCATAACTTGTTATCTGTGAAAACTTAAAGCACCCATATCTTTTCTTAACATTCTTTTTTTACTCTAATTTATCAAACCAATGTCCACATATTTATATTAGCTAATGTCTGCATACCGTTTCCTTCCCCAACTGCTTTGAAACATGTCTTGGATTTCTTTGTGTTTATTTTGCCTTTTAGCAGTTTCAGTTACATGCAAAGGGATTATAGTTTCTCTGTGTAAACACCCGAGCGATTGTTCTTCTAACCGTGTGTAAGAAGTAGCCTGGATTTACAACCAACTCCTCCGTCTTTCCCAGCTTTTGCACACTAATAGACCTCATCACTCATCAACGCTTTGTGCTTTTTGTCTCGTAGGTGTTTTATCCCTGCCAGCCCACTTCAGCCCCTACACGGAGAACCAGAACCAGGCGTGTGTGGACAGCAGGGAGGACGCCTATGCCCAGCTCGAGCTCCGGACCCTGGAACAGTCCCTCCTGGCGACGTGTGTGGGCAGCATCTCCGAACTGAGTGAGTGCTGGCAGATCGGTGCCCATTAACCCGCCATTGACATCCAACAGCTGCTCTGCTACCGGCCGGGGTCCCTGTCCAAAAAGCCCCATACTGATACTATGCAGGGACATCGCATGTTGGGAGTGTTCTACATGTGTGTCTATTAGAGGAATGTCCATCAGTTACCATGTTGACACAAGACTTACATAGACTTAGACAAACTTAATTGATCCACAAGGGAAATTATTTGGACACAGGAGCTCACCCATCACAATATAATATAATAACAAAGAGTAAAAATATATAAATGGTGGTAATATATTCTAAATAAGTCGCAAAAATAGCAAAAGACTAGGGTCAAATAAGGCGTAATTATATAAATGTATATGTACAAGTAAAAATAAAACGCAGAAATATAGTAATACAAATGTGTCTCAGCTATATACAAGATGTCGTAAGGAAAACAGTGCAAAGATGAAATAATAAATGACATGACATAGGGTTATCTGTTGCACATGGTTGGGTTGTTGTACACTTGTATGGAGTCTGCTTCGTCTGTAATATTTCACAATTTCTATCTTCACTGAGACCAAACCAGTCCAAGTTACAGGTCCGATCTGTGGAGAGGTGATCCCACTCACAGTCAAAATGCCTGTACTGTATTTTCCGCACTATAGAGCACTCTGGATTATAAGGCGTGCAGTCTTTTTTTGATGAAATTAAAAGCTTTTAAGTGTGCCCAACAGTGCAGAAAATATGGTAATTGAATAAATGTAAGGTAGATCTGTTTAATGTCATACTGTGGAACATTCCAGAGTAGTGACATGTCCATAGAAACAAGAACGTGATGGACACTAAACCAGAGGCTTTAGGATGACAAGACGTCCCTATTTACCCGGGACAGTCCCAGTTTTGAGCCCTGTGTCCCCTATCCCATCAGATTTATCCAAAAACACTGATTTGTCCGACTTTCATACAAGAAATGTCCTAGGAGTTTGACAGATTTGACACCTGCCAACAGTAAAGAGAAGCATAAATTGTCATTTGTTTAGGTAAAATACAGAAAAGCTGCTTGAAAATGACCAAAACACTATACTGACTCACATGTTAGTCATGAATGGTCTCTGCAAAACAAATTTCCTTAATTACACACAATTTTATTATTACCAATCACCAAAAAAATGGGGATGTTCCAGATTTATTATTTTGAAATTCTGATCTATACACAGTGAACCTTTATGATAGTCAGCATTTTCAGGAGCTTGTGCTCAATCCTGTTTAAGTGTTTGATTTTCAATAAAAAGTTTAGAGCGACTAACTGAAAAACTGCTGTAAACTGTAATTTTATGTGTGAGAGACTTGTTTAATGGCATAAATCATCATCTTACCTGTTGTAGTTCCAACTAAATCAGCTCTTTCTGGTCAGACTGTGTTATAAAAGATCTCAGATAAAGTCTAACTTGAGTAACAGAGCTTCTAACAGAATAGTACTTCCAGTTAGCAGCACCCCCCCATGCAATTTTCCCGACATCAGCTGCAAAGTACCATACTAGTGAAGATGATTTCCCTTGGTGGACTAATTCTATTTTCCATTGAGATAATAGGGTCTTACAATGTTATGTCCTATCTTGTCCTTTAACTTGACTAATATCCAATTTGCACCTTTCTATAAATAATGCATGAAGTGGCTTATTTACACTGACCTCTCTGGAGAATACAGCGATAATGTGGTTGTTTGGTTATAGCACATTGCACATATATATTTAGATAAAGCCGTGTTTGTTTGAGTGGATATGAGCGGCGAGCATCAGGTCAGTGCAAACAATGAGTGCCTCTGTGTCACGTTTGCTACTAACCCACTTACAATGATAAAAGACCCAGACTCCATTATGCCATTTATGCGCTACAGTGGCCCTTTATATAGTCCTTTAGGAGCTTGTTTTCCCACTTATCCCTGTTTTATCTGCCCTCTGATCACTGAAAAAGACACTGTAAAAGATAATGTTAAAGGTAAATAAGCAGCACGGTACAGTTAAAATGCCCCCAGAGACTAGTTTTACTTTTTTAGTTTGCCAGATTTAGATCTTATATTACGCAAAATTGACTCTTGTGATCTTTAAGTCGTGGTATAATGTTGTTACCTCATTGAAAACATACCCGGATTTGTGTTTTTGTTTCGTTCACAGATGTTTGACTAAACTTAAATAGGCTGTCTGCATCTCTAAAACTGAAAACGCTCTGTTCCAACTTGTGATGTCATGATGTGGTAGTTCTCAAGTTAACACCTTTTCCCTTTTGGCAATTCAAAATTATCCAAATGATTCGAGTGAAGGTGTATGGAGTTTAAAAACACAATGGAGTGTGTTTGAGGGTGGAAGCTTGATGTCTTTTCAGCAACTGCAACAAAAATATGATCTCCCAAGCCAAGATTTCCTTTACATTTATCTAAATAAAAATACAGTGTTGGGTGTTTTGCAAGCTCCACCTTCAAATATAGAAATCTTTTTAACCTCTGTGATTAAAAAAACAATTACTAAACATCTCATATCTACAAAATACTACAGAGAACACACTATATATTAAGGAGAAATCGGAATTAGAAATGAATATAATAATTAAAAATGAGGATTGGGAGGAATACAAAATTACAAACAGCCCAGAACAAAGGGAGTTTGAATGGAAAACTAAAATTAGATTCATTAGAACTCCTTTTATTAAATATAAATTTGGTGGGACTTCAGATAAATGGTTAGAGGGGCTGCGGTCTGGTGGGGGATCATTCCCATATACTTTCTGTATTGTCTGTATTATAATACATGTGTGAATGAAACAAAACACAACTCTAGGTATATTTATGATGAGGAAACAACATATCATATTATAACATAGATCAAAAATATTGCTCCTTTAAAGGTAAATTAAGCAACACGATGCAGTTAAATTCCCTCAGAGACTATTATTGTGCACTCAATTTGCCAGATTTAAGTGGTAATGGCGTTATTTTGTATTTTGGAGCTTTGGAGCACAGCACAATATGCGTCAACCACAGACTGTATAAAGAAGTGGACTATGGCTCCAGTCAGATGAAGCTCAATGAGGCTTGCAGTCATGGGGGCAAATTTGATATTAGGAATAGGAATTGATTTACGGACAAAATAGTGAAATAAAAACAACAGGGTCATGTAGAGCAGGTTAATACAGACATTTTAAGAAGGAAATGAGCAACTTGACAGCAGCAGTTACAGAATGAGAAGTGACAGTTTTTTTTTTTGTTTTTTTTCAATACAAAGTGAATTGGAACCAAAGTCGATGGAGCCAGAAGTGTCCCCATGCTCACTTTCTGTTTGGAATGCAGTGGCTAGCACGTTTGTCCATTTATATGTTCAGTCTTAATCTAAGGCATGAACAGTAACTAGTCATTCGTTATTGTCAGTTTATATTTATTTCTATTAAAATACTTTTGACCATGACTTGGCAGACTCTCCGTGTTATTCTGAGTGTTTTCTGGCAGTACACAAGATTTTGCAGTTTTATAATTTATTTGTCTTAATTAGAAACTTCATTCCACGCTCCATTTTACTAATGATTATGGGGTTACGCCTAGTTTCTCCCAGATTTAGCCTTGTTTTTGAAAAGTTAAAGTTCAGATCATTAGCCTGGTGAGTCTCATGCATTCTCCATAATTGTTTGACATCTGCTGTTTACTGCTCAAGTTTGAGGGAGGTTAAAGGGCCCATATTAATGCAGTTTTCTGATCTACTGCATATTATAATGTTGTTTTCTCATCACAAACATACCTGGAGTTGTGTTTTGTTTCATTTTACCACACAAACCCTGCGTATACACCTTCACTAGAATCATTTAGACGATTTTAGCCCTGTGAATTGCCAATCTCAACTGAACTAAAGGTAAAAGGTAGCTTGAAAATCAGGGGTGTAGTGGGCGTGGTACGCGAGGCTGCGCCGTCCACCCACTTCTTTTGACGTAAGATATAAAATAGCTACAATTTAAATGTCAAACCGGAGCTATTGGCAATGATGAAAACAACCTGCATAGGCTCATGATATCTGCAGTACTGTCCTATAGTGATCTGCGACATGAGGGGACCAGGACTGAACCAGGACTAAAACAGGACTAAAACCTAGGACTAAACCAGGGACTAAACCAGGAATAAACCAGAACTAAAACAGGATTAAAACAGGACTAAATCAGGCCTGAACCAGGACCAAACCAGGACTGAACCAGGACTGAACGAGGACTGAACCAGGATGGAGTGTCAGGACGGTCCTGGAGATGCATCCATGTAGACCATCGGGTGATCGCAGGCAAAAAGACCATCGCCCGATCGCGCTTTGCAGACACCCTCTTCACCATGGACTCGGGGTTCTCGTTCTTTTTCTCAAGTCAAAGATTAGTCCTGTCCTGGTTTAGTCTTGGTTTAGTCTTGGTTTAGTCCTGGTTTAATCCTGGTTGTTTAGACCTGCTTTAGTCGTGGTGTAGTTCTGGTTTATTCCTGGTTTCATCACATCACTGACGTCACGAATCGCGTACCTCACTACACCACTGTTGAAAACTACCATAGACAGACAACTCCAGGTATGTTTTTGATGAGGTAACAGCATTTTAACAAGTTGTAAAGTTTACAAGAGTCAACTTTGTGTAATATAGAATCTTTAATTGATTGAGGAACACACATTGGGTATTACCTTAGAAGTCAGTCAGTACCATACTACTACTACCTATGTATACAACTGAAGTCTGCTTTGGAAAAAGGTGGAAATGCTTGCGGAGAGAGAGGAAAAGAGAGGATTAACTTGAAGGATGCAGCGGCCAGATGAAGGTAAAGTGTAGGTCTGTGGGGGCAGTTAGGAGACTGAGGAATACAGAGGGGGGCAGTCAGGTTGGTGGGGCAGGTATGTCTTCCTATGGGGAAAAGAGGATATTCATATTGGATTGAGGAGGGCTTGGTTTCCCCTCTCCAACACTCTGCAGTTTGTTCCTCAGGACAAGGCCACGTT